TGCAAGCGCGCTAGCAAAATGGAGCATTGTGTACTGAGCTGCCGCATTTGTTTGCACGTGGAAAACATCTCTCGTGGATCCTGGGCGCCCTGCCTGAACGGAGCAGAGGGTAATTGCGTTTTGCTAGGGATGTCTCTCTTCCATGCATCCCGAGAGCTCTCTTGTGGATGTGCTGGATGCCACGCTGGTTGGGGTGTGCTTGAACAATATAACACTGATGTAGCAGTTTGCGGTGTGCGGGCAGACAATGGTCAAGCTGTTGCTCATGCCCGAGTCCAGGCTTGGTTCCCAGCAAAAGCTGCAGCCCGCGCTGGAGCATACTGCCAAAGCGATCAAATTGTCCACTGAGCTGACACGGCGGTGCAGTGCGGTGATGCACAGCAAGAGCGGACCTGCGACATGCTCGAACGTGCCGCACGCTTAACTGGCCCTAGTGCAAGTCTGGGACGCACTGTAGGAGCATCTCTTGTGGTTCCAGAACGCTCTTCTTCTTGAAGAGACCAGAGGCTAGCTGCAGGTACTAGTTGTATTTCCCTGCCATGCATCCCGAGCGGCCCGCTCTGGATGCTACTGCGGGTGTGGCGTGCTTGGACTATTTAACACTGAGGTAGCAGTTTGCGGTGTGCGGGCAGACAATGGTCAAGCTGTTGCTCATGCCTGAGTCCAGGCTTGGTTCCCAGCAAAAGCTGCAGGCCGCTGGAGATACTGCCAGAGCGATCAAATTGTCCACTGAGCTGACACTGCGGTGCATGATGCTCAACGCGAGACTGGATGTGCCACATGCTTGAGCCGGCCTGGATGCACAAACATACGACAAGATTCCGACAAGATCATTTGTTGTGAGCTAATGCGCGTACTGAGGCCTTTCTAGCCACGTAGACACAGGCTTGTTGATTCCAGGCTGCGTACGGTTCCTCTTGACCCAAGACTACACAGGTCCTATTGTGTCCAGAACAGCTTACATCGGTCGGCAGGGTCATGAAGGTGTTGCCGCTTATGAGGGCCTCCTGATTCAGACGCGTCGACAAAAAGGGCTGCTGGCAATTGACGTGGGCAAAAGCGCTGGAGGTATGTGTAGCCATTTTGCGCAGGAGTGGCCAACCTCCGGAAGGGGCGCATTTTGTGGGCACGAGACCGCCGCTTTCTGCAGTGCCAGGCATCGTTTACTGCCGTTGATATGCACCGCACTCTGGTGATGCTCCATGTGAGACTGGCAATGCCGAATGCTTGACCGGGGTTGGCCACAGCTGTAGTCCATGCAAGCGCGCTAGCAAAATGGAGCATTGTGTACTGAGCTGCCGCATTTGTTTGCACGTGGAAAACATCTCTCGTGGATCCTGGGCGCCCTGCCTGAACGGAGCAGAGGGTAATTGCGTTTTGCTAGGGATGTCTCTCTTCCATGCATCCCGAGAGCTCTCTTGTGGATGTGCTGGATGCCACGCTGGTTGGGGTGTGCTTGAACAATATAACACTGATGTAGCAGTTTGCGGTGTGCGGGCAGACAATGGTCAAGCTGTTGCTCATGCCCGAGTCCAGGCTTGGTTCCCAGCAAAAGCTGCAGCCCGCGCTGGAGCATACTGCCAAAGCGATCAAATTGTCCACTGAGCTGACACGGCGGCGCATGATGCTCCGCGCGAAATCTGGAGCAAGTCCAAACAGAGGCTAACTGCGCGGTGCTAGGGATGTCGCTCTGCAATGCATTTCGAGCGGTGGTTTCTGGATGCCGCTGCGGGTGTGATGTGCTTGGACAACACAACACTGAGGTTGCCTTTTGTGGATACAAATTGGCAGAGACTCTCAGATATGAGTCCGGACCTGCATCCATGCATCCACCCATCCATGATTGGCATGGAAGTGTGTGGCGCGGCAATGGTCACGCAACTGGAATGATGCATGTGTGTTGCAGATTCCATTCCAAGAAGCTTCTGCTCACTATCGGGACTGCCCGAGTCCAGGCTTGGTTCCCAGCAAAAGCTGCAGGGCAAGGGAGCGTACGCCAAAGCGATCAAGTCGTCTACCCGTGGTGTGGCGCGGCGAAGCTCCGTGCAAGAGAGGACCTGTCACATGCTTGAACGTGCCGCACGCTTAGCTGGCCTTAGTGCAATTCTGGGACGCACCGCAGGTGGATCCAGGATGGCCTTGTTCCTGAAGAGACCAGAGGCTAACTGCAGGTACTAGCGGTTTTTCTCTGCCAAGCATCCCGAGCGGCGCGCTCTGGGCACCACAGTGAGTATGGTGTGCTTGAACAATAAACACTGAGGTAGCAGTTTGCAGTGTGCGGGCAAGCAATGTTCAAGCTGTTGCTGATGCCCGAGTCCAGGCTTGGTTCCCAGCAAAAGCTGCAGGCGGCTGGAGCATACTGCCAAAGCGATCAAATTGTCCACTGAGCTGACACGGTGCAGCGTGCTAATGCTGCGGCATGTGCCACATGCAGATGCTTGAGCCGGCTTGGTGCGAGTTCCCCCCCCCCCCCCACAGCGTATCTTGTGGATGGAACCCCTCGGGCAGGCAATGGTCCAGGTTCTATGCCTGAGTTTGGACTCGGTTTGCCGCGACTGCCAAATTGTCAAACTCGCCAAACTCGAGGTCAAACCAGACTGTTTGGAGCATGCAATGTCAGCTAGGCCTTGCAGGTTTGTGATTCAGTCGCGGAAGGGTAAACATCAATTATCTCTGACGTGGCATTGAATGATTCAGCCTGTAGCTGTTCTCAGATTCTGCGCTTGTCGACAGTCAAGCCATGCACATTTCGTGTATTTCACCTTCAGATTTCACAGAAGCAGTTCACCCACTCTACCTGGCTTGCGGTGCCCTGAATCTCACGCAGCCTCATCCGGACGGGTGTAGAAGCATTGTGGAGTTTCAAAGGTTTTCTGGCATATTCCATGGATGAATTAACATCGTGATATGCTGGCCTGTCCTTTAACCGTGCCCTTTAAGCCGCGTGTTTGTCCTTCAAGCTCTTCAGGCATGGCTGTTAGTGTAACGAGTGGACATGTTTGGCCAAGGCAAGCCCTTCGGGGAAAGGAGCTTGGCAAGCCAAAGAGGGCAACCAGCCTAACCAAAGTCGAAGCAAAACACGGCCCTGAAAACCGACATGCGGGAGGTGACGAGGTTGGTCACTCCAGTGACACTTTCTTGTAGGAAATTCGCTTCTTTCTTGTTTTTTTTCTCCGACAGCTAATCTCATGCCAGGTCGAGAACAGGCGCTTGGCGGCCGCTTGAGCCGCCGTTCCGAATGACTCGATTCAAGTCGTTTTTCCTTGGACAAGGCAAGTGCGTAATGCGTAAGTTTCAAGACGCTTTGCACTGTTCTTCCTCGCGCACATTTCAATATCCAGTCACCCATCCACAGCCGAGAGGGCCGAAATCATCCTTGAAAAAGTGGAGCGTGCTTTATTCACTCCAAATGATGCAAGTATGTGGTGTCTTGCCAGTGTAGGATATTTTCGCCATCAAGATGCACATTTTGGAAAGCCGCAGTCAGTCTCTTGCCAGGTGTGGTGAGAGCATACCCCTTGAAGAATAATTTAGATGTGACGCGTCCAATATTCTTTGCCACACAAGCCTGTGAACAATTATTTTTCTCCAGGCGATACTTCAGATGCCTCCCAGTTTCATTGTTAGTGTCTTATCCGCTCCTGGCTTCACATTCTCCTCTCCTGGCTTCACATCAGATGCCTGCTTGTCATACTCCATGCAGGCGACCTTCCATCTTGCTCTAGCAACTCGGACGTGCTTCCTCCAGGGAAGGGTCGAGCTCCAAGCGTTCCGAGGAGCTGCCAAGCTTTGATTGGCTTTCGCTCGGAATCACACTTGCTCCTTTCACATATGCATAACCTTGACACTGGCTAGCTGGGCATTTGTGCTTGGGCCGAATGGAATTTCCCGTGCTTTCTTGCCGTGTCAGCCACGTCAGTGTGTCTTTGGTCCGACGCCGGAGGTGACCCTTTAGGCGAGTCTGTATGAGTCATTGCTCAAAGGGGGGGACGTGTTGCTCGTCGAGGTTGAGCTGATATGTGCATTTCAAGGAGGGACTGAATCGACTCGTTTGCAAAACGTAATCGGGGAGTGTGAAGGCCTTGCCACAAAGTATACACCTCTTCTGTCGGTCCATGTTTGTGCCCTTCCTTGAGAGCCCAATCCACGCGATCGATCTGCTGCACCATTGCGAAGTCCACATCTGCAAGTGCACGTTTTCACAGGAACCCGATACTTGCTCTCAGAGCTTGGGCAAATCAAGTGTGACCCGTCGCCTGACAAATTGATTCGCACATCGACGTGTTGCACGCCAAAAAGGCCTTGGAAGCCAAGGCTGCGGCACAGATCGTGGACAGCGATTTGTTTGCGCGCCACGTTCACAAGACTCAGCTTTAGGACCGGGATGGAAGCAGTTGTCCTTCGTCCGAAGCCAAACACGCCCTTGTGTGGTGGGTTCGGCGAGCTTGCTTCATGTGACCAATGCTGTGTGGAACATACGCCGAAGCTGTGCTAATCGCTGCAGGCTCAGTGAGAGTGCCATCCCCTTGGAACAAAGCCATCGAATCGTTGAATCAGGCGGTCGTGCCTTCAATTGATACAGATGCTGGATTGTGCACAGCCACTCAGCGTGCGCCGAACCCGCGAGGACGGTGCGCACAGTGCCGCAGGCTGCTTACGCTGTGCACGGTGCGCATTTGAAGCGCGTTGCAATCCAGTGTCTTTCCTCTGCCACTCCGGAGATAGCGTCCTGATTGTGCTCCAGCGGGATTCGTCGTGAGCAAGCAGACTCGGAGCGTGTGCTGAGCTGAAGCTGGAGTGATTCCCTGAAACCTTGACTGTAGACACCAGCTTGTAACTGTATTAGATGAGGCGAGGACATACAAGCCCTGCTCACGTTGACCGGCAAAGTTGTCAAGATTCCCCAATGCACATGTGAGCAGCTTGGCACGCGAGCTCTGTTTTTCTTTGGCATTGCAACATTGCCGAATCGAGCCAAAGCTTTTCACAGCTGCACGCACATGTGCAAAAAGGTTCTGATTGTGTTTTGCACGTGTGCTCGCATGTCCTATCTTGCTGAAGTGGTGCGCGAGCAGAACCGGTGTGAAGCGAAGTGCAGTGTCCGCTTTGATGGATTCCATTCGCTATCAATTCTCCCTCTTTACAACATTGCCCGGGGCCGGAGGATACAGTCAGCCGGCCTGCACAAGGGAGTTGGAGTGCAAAGCGCACGTCAGACTGCCAGCCTTTCGCAAACGGCAAATCATGGTTTGGATACGCAATTAATAGACATGCATCACCACGCCTGCCAACGCAGAGATTCCATTCCAGCATGCCATGTAGAGCATGTCCAGTGGGTTCGCCTGTGACTTGCATGCGGATGCGGGCCGACTCTGCTGTCCGATACTCTGCTTGCTCAGCACAAACGGGGTAAGGCGATGCTCCAGAACAAAGCCCGGTTTTGCTCTTCACGCTTTGATGGTGGCTATCCACTCCAGGTGCTCGATGCCGCGTATAATCATGTAGACAACTGTCCAGTGCAAACGCGTGCCGAGGCCACTTTTGAGTGACACAGATAGCATATTGCCACCGGACGGGCAGCCGGCCGTGCAAAGGAATTCATGTCTTGCCTCTCTGGGCAGCAGCCCTGGCAGTTTCGCAGCCACCCAGACCCATGCTCGCAGCGATCCAAGCAGCTGGCCAGTGACGAGAACGGTCTGAGTTGCGGGCTGGCTTCAGTCAGCCAGCTGGAAGTGGATGCAGAGCATATGGCTGCAGATGTGGCGCAAGCTCTGCGAGAGTCAGAGGCTCTGGTGCGGCAATGGCTTGAATGCCGCACCGTCTAACGGCCAGAGTTCGGTTTGAAGCTTGCCGGGCCGTGTTTGGGTTCAGCTGTTACCTTCCCTCAAGGACATTGATATGGGACAACAACAGTCGAAAGAAGTGCTTGCTCAGAGTCCTCATAGGACCGGCACTACCAGCACTGCAGAGTCCGCATGTCATTTGCTTGCACTTCTTGTGTGTGGCAGCCACTGCTTCATGACCATCGTGCAACCAGTGCATTCAGTGCGGTTCGCATTGCTTTAAGCTTGAGACTTCCAGGAGTGGCAGGGCGACTTTCGACGGAGCCCAACGCAAGGTCTCCTTTGATTTCGAGGAAAAGGCTTGTGTGCTTGGCCGGTCAGCCGGCAAGTCAGCCGGCAGCATTCACATGAATGTCAGCTCATGACGAGCGACACGGCCACCTGCTGCTGATATCTAATGATTGCAGTGGAGTGTACAGAGAGAGGCGGATGTGGCAGCAATTCGCTGGGCCCTGCTCAGAACGGAACCAGGGCGCCAATTGCGCAGCTTGGCGACAGCATTTGGCATTGAAACCGCAAGCTGTTGCACATGCTAGGCAAGAAGAGTTTGGCAATCAGTTTCCAAAAAGTGGTGATCACGTTGCGCGGATGTTTAATGCACCGGCATTCGCTACAAGATGACTCAGAGAGAGTGCAGATGTGATCGGTGGGCAGTCACTGCTGTGACCCGGGTCAGAAATTAAAGAAGTAGTTTGCCTGCGTGCATAGACACTCTAGTGTTGGAGATGTCTGGCGGACATCGACTGGGCGTTCCAACATGAGAGACAGACGCAGATTTAGAGGCAGCTTTGAGAGAACGGCCGTGACCCAATCATCCGGCTCCATCTGCCACAAAGCAATGGCACAAGTCACTGGCCAACGTTCAGCAGGACTCTGGAACAGGATAAGTCAGAGCACAGATGTGATGGGTGTTGCAGACACTGCAGTCATTGCAGTGACCCGAGTCAAAAGTTTGCCCGCATGCATAGACACTCGAGTGCTTGGAGATGTCTGGCGGACAGCGACTGGGCGTTCCAACATGAGAGACAGACGCAGATTGAGAGTGTGCTGAATCAGGCTAGGCAGCAAACATAGTGCACAGAAATCGCTTACAAAAGGAAAGCAGTCTTCCCAAAAGCCCTCAAAGGGGCCTGACTTCCGTGTTTGGGAGGGTAAGTGTTCTTTTGGCATCGGAGCTTACATACGAGCGATCAATGCTCATGTTCCCTGACATGGAACGGCCGTGACCCACCCGGTCCCATCAGCTGCAAGGCAGGGACTTTGTGAGGATGACCCTTGCCGATGTAATCGGTGTTACACAGTAAGCTCGCCATAAATTGAGAAGAACACACTCCCTTTGAAACAAGTCTTGGCCCATATTTGGGGTGCACCAAAGATGGTTTCAGACTATGCTTGTAAAATATAACATCTTTATGCCCCAGAAGTCCCCCCCCCGAATCTTGGGGGCGCGTCACTGCAGTCATTGCTGTGACCCTGTCAGAAGTCTCAAAGAAGTTTACTCGCATCTATAGCTCAAGTCTTTGGAGATGTCTGGCAGACAGCGGCCGGGCCTTCCACATGAGAGACTGACACAGATTGAGCCCCAAGGACGTGTGCTGAATCAGGCTAAGCAATCCTTTGAGGGAAATGCTGTGACCCAATCGGGCCTCGTCAGCTGCCACAAAGCAATGGCACAAGTCACTGGCCAACGTTCAGCAGAGCTCTGGAACAGGATAAGTCAGAGCGCAGATGTGATCGGTGTTGCAGACACTGCAGTCATTGCAGTGACACGGGTCAAAAGTCCACAAAGTTTGCCCGCGTGCATAGACACTCGAGTGCTTGGAGATGTTTGGCGGACGGCGACTGGGCGTTGCAACATGAGAGACAGACGCAGATTTAGAGGCAAGCATGTGCAATGCTTTGAGAGAACGGCCGTGAAGCAATCATCGGGCTCCATTTGCCACAAAGCAATGGCACAAGTCACTGGCCAACGTTCAGCAGAGCTCTGGAACAGGATATGTCAGAGCGCAGATGTGATGGGTGTTGCAGACACTGCAGTCATTGCAGTGACCCGGGTCAAAAGTTCGCAAAGTTTGCCCGCGTGCACAGACACTCGAGTGCTTGGAGATGTCTGGCGGACAGTAACTGGGCGTTCCAACATGAGAGACAGACGCAGATTGAGCCCCAAGCAAGTGTGCTGAATCAGGCTAGGCAGTCTACCAACAAACGTAGTGCACAAAAACCGCTTACAAAAGGAAAGCAGTCTTCCCAAAAAGGGCCTGACTTTCATACGAGCGATCAATGTTCATGTTTGCTGACATCGAACGGCCGTGACGCACCCAGTGCCATCAGCTGCAAGGCAGTGGCACGCCGGACTTTGTGTGATCGGTGTTGCAAGGTAAGCTCGCAATAAATTGAGAAGAACACTGAAGAACACTCTCCCTTTGAAACAAGTCTTGGCCCATATTTGGGGTGCACCAAAAGATGGCTTCAGACTATGCTTCTAAAATACAACATCTTTATGGAGGAGGCCCCAGAAGTCCGCCCCCAATCCTTGGCGTGTATTGGTGGCACGACACGGCAGTCATTGCGGTGACCCTGCATGTATAGCCCCTCAAGTGTTTGGAGATGTCTGGCGGACAGCGACTGGGCGTTCCAACATGAGAGACAGACGCAGATTGAGCCCCAAGCAAGTGTGCTGAATCAGGCTAGGCAGCAAACATAGTGCACAGAAATCGTTTTCAAACGGAAAGCAGTCTTCCCAAAAGCCCTCAAAGGGGCCTGACTTCCGTGTTTGGGAGGGTAAGTGTTCTTTTGGCATCGGAGCTTACATACGAGCGATCAATGCTCATGTTCCCTGACATGGAACGGCCGTGACCCACCCGGTCCCATCAGCTGCAAGGCAGGGACTTTGTGAGGATGACCCTTGCCGATGTAATCGGTGTTACACAGTAAGCTCGCCATAAATTGAGAAGAACACACTCCCTTTGCAACAAGTCTTGGCCCATATTTGGGGTGCACCAAAGATGGTTTCAGACTATGCTTGTAAAATATAACATCTTTATGCCCCAGAAGTCCCCCCCCCCCCCCGAATCTTGGGGGCGCGTCACTGTAGTCATTGCTGTGACCCTGTCAGAAGTCTCAAAGAAGTTTACTCGCATCTATAGCTCAAGTCTTTGGAGATGTCTGGCAGACAGCGGCCGGGCCTTCCACATGAGAGACTGACACAGATTGAGCCCCAAGGACGTGTGCTGAATCAGGCTAAGCAATCCTTTGAGGGAAATGCTGTGACCCAATCATCGGGCTCCATCTGCCACAAAGCAATGTCTGGAACAGGATGAGTCAGAGCGCAGATGTGATCGGTGTGGCAGACACTGCAGTCATTGCAGTGACCCAGGTCAACAGTTCACAAAGTTTGCCCACATGTATAGCCCCTCAAATGTTCGGAGATGTCTTGCGGACAGCGGCCGGGCCTTCCACATGAGAGACTGACACAGACCAAGCACGTGTTCTGAATTAGCTAGGCAATTCTTTGAGGGAAATGCCGTGACCCAATCGGGCCTCGTCAGCTGCCACAAAGCAATGGCACAAGTCACTGGCCAACGTTCAGCAGAGCTCTGGAACAGGATGAGTCAGAGCGCAGATGTGATCGGTGCTGCAGACACTACAGCTTTGGCCTCGCAGCAGTTGGTTCTTTGCGCTTGTATTGATGTCAATAGAACAGTCTTTGATGAGGCTGTCACCAGAAAAACAACATTCTTTTGTACTGTCCTGCAGGCAGGTGGGAGTCGGTTTGAGGGCAGTGCAGCTGGACTTTCGCTGTCGGCTGCCTGCATCAGCTGTTGGCTGCCTGCATCAGCTGTCGGCTGCCTGTATCAACGATGGGGCCTTCCACATGAGAGACAGACTCACTTTTGTGATCGTCGTATGAGTCAGCTGCTGGCTGCTTCCCAGCCACCTGGTTCAGCTGCTAGATGGGAGACTCTTGAAACGATTCCAACACCGCGCAACAGTACGCGCCTGCGAAAAATCGGTACTGAGCAGAAGCTCGACATCGGGATGGTACTTCATATCTTAGCCTTTGCCTCACTGCATTATTGATTATTGTTTCTGATGCAGTGATCCTGTCGTCAGTCAAATGAGTTTTCCACATTCACAGGTCCTCGAGTGTTTGGACATGTGTAGCGGGTATCGACCGGGACTTGAGAGACAGACGCCGATGTAGCCCCAATTATGCGCACAATCCTTTGAGAGAGAGGCCGTGACCCAATCGAGCACCGGCTGCCACAAGGCAGTGGCGCAAGTCACTAGCCAACGGTCAGCACATGAAAGACAGACGCAGACTTAGCCACAAGCATGTGTCCTGAATCATGCTATCCTTTGAGTGAAGCGCCGTGACCCAATCATCGGGCCCCATCCGCTGATGGCACAAGTTGCTAGCCAACGGTCTGTGCGACAGGACTCCATCGCAGACATGAGGCTGACAGCGAGAGGCCTTCCACCTCACTTTTGTGATCGTCGTATGAGTCAGCTGCTGGCTGCTTCCCAGTCACCTGGTTCAGCTGTTAGATGGGAGACTCTTGAAACGATGGCACATCCAACACCGTTCAACAGCACACGCCTGCGAAAGATCGGTACTGAGCAGAAGCTCGACATCGGGATGGTACTTCATGTCTTTGCCTTTGCCTCACTGCAATATTGTTTTTCTTGCAGTGACCCTGTCAGAAGTCAAATGAGTTTGCCCACATGCATAGCGGTTGAACACCGCCACGGTTGACTTCCGTAGCTCGACTGGTGGGAGGCACCAAACCTTAGGCATTTGGGCTACCGCAAACAAAACGCGCCACAGGTGCGCTCAACCGAGGCAATGCCCAGACAAGCAGCAGGATTCTGCGACAGGATGACTCAGAGCGCAGATATGATCGGTGTTGAAGACACTGCAGCTTTGGCCTCACTGCATTTTGTTCTTTGCGCTCATGACATCAATGAGCAGTACTGGCCACACTTAGAACGGAATATGATTTTCAAGTTTGTAGCTTTTGCAAAAGGCAATTCTTTCAAATCCTTAGGGGGAAATACCGTGACCCAATCGGGCCTCGTCAGCTGCCACAAAGCAATGGCACAAGTCACCGGCCAAGGTTCAGCAGAACTCCGGAACATGACGCAGATATCATCGGTGTTGCTGACACTGCAGCTTTTGCCTCGAGTGGATGCAAGGATGCCTATGATTTGTGCCGCTCAAGTTAGTGCGTTGTCCAAGCTCTGTGAATGTTATGGAGGGCTGCCAAGAGCAAGATGCACTCGCTGAGCGCATACAAATTCAGTCCTTGCGCAGGCTTGGCAGCTTCTGTCACGCCAGAGCTTGTGGCAAGGGTCGGCACGTTGTGCCATAGCCAGCCTTGCCCCGAGATATTCGACCACATTGTGAGATGTGATGTGAGTAGCTGCAGGACGACGCAGTTGATTAGTGGATGGAAGGATGCCCAAGACTGATGAAGACACGCAGCCATGATTTGTGCTGCCCAAGTTGGTGCGTTGCCCAAGCTGTGTGAATGTTACGGAGGGCTGCCAAGAGCACTCGCTGTGCACATGCCAATTCCGTCTTTGCGCAGGCTCGGGTCGGCAAGTTGTGCCGTAGCCAGAGCCGTATCCCCCGATGCAGACCGACCACACAAGATGTAATGTGAGTGGGTGGATGCAGCAGTCTAGTTGTCGGATGCATCAGTTGACGAGTGGAAGGATGCCCAAGGCCCAAGGCTGATTAAGACACAGAGGCATGATGTGTGCCGCTCAAGTTGGTTCGTTGCCCAAGCTGTGCGAATGTCGTGCAGAGCTGCCAAGAGCAAGATTTGGCACTCTCCCTGCGCATGCCGATTCCGTGCCATTGCTCCCAACTCGTATGCCAGATTTACTGCGGCCACATGAGGGTGCACCTGAGATGTGCTGCGAGACGTGTTTCTCCAACCTCAGACAATTGCGTTGCACGACTCAAGGCCAGGAGCAGAGGAGCAGAAGGCATGAGTCACTATCGTGCCAGCGCGTGCAGACGAGGGGGGGGGGGTTCTGAAACCAACGGAGCGGCCAAGCTGAAGCGGGTTTGCCAATGAACCTGGCGATGCGCACTGCTTTGCAAGCGAAAGAATCCCAGGAAATGACTTTGATTGATGGCCGCTCAGGCTCACAAGGCGATGTAGCATTGTAGCCAGCCCAAGCTCCGCAAACGATGTAAACATGCAGCTTAAACTTCGCGGCCGTGGAAAGTATTGCTGCACACGACTCGCCTGTTTAAGTAGCATGTGCCTTGGAATATCCTTCGTGAGCTTTGGCCGACAAAGCCGACCCCCTCCACTCGGGGCGGCAAGGTGACGCGACTTTTGACAGTTGGAGGAGGCGGCAAAGCTAAATCATTTGTATTGCACCTGGGAAAATAGGCCAAACTGCTTAAGATTCTGCTTCCATACTGCGATACGCGTCATGGCAGACACAGCCTGCGCAACTAGCTAAGTGTCCATGGTGTGAACGCTATGTGAGCGGCCAGATTCCCAGACTCTTGTCAGGCGCCGCAACCCAGACGCTTGCAGCACACGTGAAGACTTTGAAAACTTGGTGTGCAGTCCGCCGCTGGAGCCCTCCTGAACATGCGCTTTCCCGAAGCCTTCAAGCTTGACTTATTGACGGCCTTGCTGACCCCTGCCACCGTTCAGCCCTTGCAGGGGTCTTACTCCAGACTGCCTTTGAAGAAGTTCAAACACCAAGCAGTAGTAGCTCATCAGATGCAGCTTCAGCCGTATCGCCAGCATTTCAAGCGAAAAGAGTCGAAGCAGTGACGCAGGGCTTCTCGGGGCATGCCCTGTTCACCTAGCTGTTTTGACCCTGAATGAACTTACTTCCATTGATGTCCTTAAGGGAGTGAGTGAACATGAAGTTGGGCAGAATCTACATGTTCAGGGCAGAACCTCAATCCTCTTTTGAGCAGGCTGGCATCCATCCACAGCAAGCATCAGGAGCAACATACATGTACAACATGCTTCTTTTTACATCAACAAGGCAGGTAATACGGTAATTCATAAGTTAGTTTTGTCACTGTTATTATAAACGCTGCCTGCCCACCTCGGCCAGGCTCAAAGAACCGGGGGCTGGACGGGCTGGGCTGAGCAGTCTCGTGGGCTCTCGAGCGGGGCAGGGCAATGTGGCTGGAAACGAGCTGGGCTGGGCTGGGCATTGGGCTCAGGGAAGGAAACGGACTGTCCGCCCTGGCAAGGTCCACCAGAGCAAGTGGGAGGGTGCGAGGCGGCCGTAGGCCTCGAGTCACGGCTAGGCGCTGTGCCGGAAGGAGCGGAGCCGCTGTGCGCGCCGTGCGCGCCGTGCTGACTCGGACGTTGGCAGCTTGTCCCCGTCTCCCCATGCTTTTTTTGGACTTGCTGACTTGGACCTTGTCACTTACCTGTGGTCCCCGCCACTTGTCTCCCCGCTCTCCTCATTGGCGCGCTTGGTGTGGTCTCCGTTGGTTGGCAATTAAAAGCGACGTGCAGTTGCTGTCCCCTTGTCTCCCTTCATATGTCTCCCTGTGTGTTTCCCTGCGTTTGCCCCTGTCTCCCTATGCGTTTCGTTGTGTCTGGTTGGGAGGGTCAGACGGCTCAACGGTCTTCTTTCATACTTCCTCCCTTCGTGTTTGCTGCGCTCTGTCTCTCCTTGCTTCCCCTCGCCCCTTGCCTCCCTTGGTATGTGTTCCTTTTTTCTTTCTTTGTCTCTCCCTCTCTCCCTTCATGTCCTTGTCTTCCTTTGTGTGTCATGTGCTTCAGGTCGGTCGAGGTCGGACGGGTTCTTGCCACTCTCCATTCACAGGTGCAGAGCTTAAAGTGTTTCACAACGGTCCTGAGACAAACGGTCCGGAAACCGCCCCTTCAAAATGTTGCCCTTCAAGGAAATGCACTGTCCAGCTAGCTAAAAGTGTTGCACAACGGTCCGGAAACCGCCCCTTCAAAATGTTGCCAATGCACTGTCCAGCTAGCTTAAAGTGTTGCACAACGGTCCGGAAACCGAACCTTCAAAATGTTGCCCTTCTAGGAGATGCACTGTCCAGCTAGCTTAAAGTGTTGCACGACGGTCCGGAAACCGCCCCTTCAAAATGTTGCCCTTCAAGGAAATGCACTGTCCAGCTAGCTTAAAGTGTTGCACAACGGTCCGGAAACCGCCCCTTCAAAATGTTGCCCAGGACATGCACTGTCCAGCTAGCTAAAAGTGTTGCACAACGGTCCGGAAACCGAACCTTCAAAATGTTGCCCTTCTAGGAGATGCACTGTCCAGCTAGCTTAAAGTGTTGCACGACGGTCCGGAAACCGCCCCTTCAAAATGTTGCCCTTCAAGGAAATGCACTGTCCAGCTAGCTTAAAGTGTTGCACAACGGTCCGGAAACCGCCCCTTCAAAATGTTGCCCTTCAAGGACATGCACTGTCCAGCTAGCTAAAAGTGTTGCACAACTGTCCGGAAACCGAACCTTCAAAATGTTGCCCTTCTAGGAGATGCACTGTCCAGCTAGCTTAAAGTGTTGCACAACGGTCCGGAAACCGCCCCTTCAAAATGTTGCCCTTGCTAAAAGTGTTGCACAACGGTCCGGAAACCGCCCCTTCAAAATGTTGCCCTTCAAGGACATGCACTGTCCAGCTAGCTAAAAGTGTTGCACAACGGTCCGGAAACCGAACCTTCAAAATGTTGCCCTTCTAGGAGATGCACTGTCCAGCTAGCTTAAAGTGTTGCACAACGGTCCGGAAACCGCCCCTTCAAAATGTTGCCCTTCAAGGAAATGCACTGTCCAGCTATCTAAAAGTGTTGCACAACGGTCCGGAAACCGCCCCTTCAAAATGTTGCCCTTCAAGGACATGCACTGTCCAGCTAGCTAAAAGTGTTGCACAACGGTCCGGAAACCGAACCTTCAAAATGTTGCCCTTCTAGGAGATGCACTGTCCAGCTAGCTTAAAGTGTTGCACAACGGTCCGGAAACCGCCCCTTCAAAATGTTGCCCTTCAAGGAAATGCACTGTCCAGCTATCTAAAAGTGTTGCACATCGTTCCGGAAACCGCCCCTTCAAAATGTTGCCCTTCAAGGAAATGCACCATCCAGCTAGCTTGAAATGTTTCGAAACGGCCTCGGTCCTCGCAGCTGCCCTTGCAAGCACACACACACAAAGCAAAGGCAAAGCTTCGTGCCCCCAGTCTCAAGAGCTTGAGTATTGGTTTGGCGCTGTTTGGCGTTGGGAAAGCCGAAAACCATGCTATGCATAGCATCACACTCAGGCCGGATTCATACAGGGCATGTGGTGGGAGGTCATCTCAAGATGCATGCCGCCATCCCTGCGAGGTGATGCAGACCATCGCCGAAATCAAACACGGGCTGAATTACATTTGGGGCAAGGACAGGAATTATTGAAGCGTTTGCGCTTTGCTTTACTGGTTTTGGTCGCCAGTGTTGCTCCAAAGTTATGATCTATTCAGGAGAGCGACTTGAACGAGACCTACGATTTTGAGTTCTCTGGGGGGTCTTGGTCTTGCCATGCCCTCAGTAGACTGTGTTGCCTGCCAGTTCCAGTCGCTTTGGGTTTTTGCTATTGATCCACGGGAGCGACATTGTGCAGTCACGTGTACGTGTGACAGGCGTTCGAACCAATGCCGCAGACTCTAGGAAGCGTTTACCCCAGAGAGACATGGGCCACATAGATGAGCACGACCACCATGCATTTGCAAGCTCGTCATTGTAAGCCTAGGTTTCGTGTTGTCTTCGATGCAACCAATTGCCGTTTGTGGTGGGGCCAGCCTGGTGCACAGAGCGTTGCATTGGACGGACGACATTGGAACACAACACATTTGCAACAGCAAGAATGAGGTCCTACTTCATGGATCCCGCTGACCTGGCCAAGAAACCCGAACGGGTGCAGTGGTGCCCAACTTCAACCCGATGCAGTCTGGGATCTTTTTGGTCTTCAGCGCTGCTGTTCCTTTTTTTGTGTCATGCATGTGCCGTCAAACTCGTACATAAATGTCCCAACCTGCGCTGAAGGCACGCGGGCACAAGGCAGGCATACCTGACACGAAATGCGGTGTGCAAGTTCGTACCACATTCCCTCACGCACAGAGCCCACAGGCCACTGCGCCCCCCGATTCACTCTCCTCTCCAAGCTTTCCCAGCCAGTTTTTGCGGTGCATTCTCAAGCATCCAGTTAGGTATCGCGCAGCAGATCAAGCGAAAAGCCGCGCAGCTTTCGTTTGGCGCAGGTGAGCGGGCGTTCTAAGATTCTAGGCTTGGTGGACCTGGCAGGCTGAGGGCCAAACCGGGTGCCAAACCGGGTGCCCAGGCTGGGACGGGCGGAGAACGAACAACCTTTTCGCGTTTTCGGGTTTTAGACGCCTTTGGGGGCAAAGCATAGGCAGCGCTTCCGCGTCGGCCGGAGTTCAAGTCTCAGCGTGTTCCAGCGCGTCTCAGCGCGTCTCACGACACATGTGAGGCCCGATCGAGCCCCGCGACGGAGCCCGCCGTCGAAGGCGACTCTGAGCTTGCTGAAGTTTCGATCCGCAAGTGTCTAAGGAGAGCGAGAAGCGCGAGGTGGGAGTTTGGCATTCCGTGCATGAAGCCTTCTGAAGTCTTCAGGCAAGGACCAAAGTCCCCGTCCCACTGCCGGGGACCCAAGGCTGACAGCTGGCCAGCAACCTTTTGGTTTCAGGCCTGAAATCATGCTCGATTTGGAGGAGGTGACAGACTCTTAGTCTCAGTGAATCCCAGTGACAAAGATCGCCGCGGTGAATTTCTTAGGCTAGTGATCTACAAGCCGCCACACTGGAAAGTGGAACTCCCCGCCAAAGACGCGCAGGACGGGCGGAGGTCTTGCTGGGTTTGGCATTTTTGGAAGGCTGCAACAGTCCTTAGTACTTAGGTCTGGCCCGGAGACTGGCATGCCTCTGTTTCGCAGGATGGCTTCTTCTTGCCCAGCTGGCTGCGAGAAAGGGCCTGCTGCCAAGCTCAGGTTTATCTCACGGAAGATGGATCTGTCTCAGGTTGAGGGCATCGATCCAAAGCTTTTCGAGGTGGAGTTGGCGGCCCAAGGCTGCCGCGGGAAGGGGGGAAGGGTGCATGCCAAAGGTCGAATCCCGCGCTCTCCGGCACCGGCTTCGGGCCGCTGTCGCATCGCATTGACCAGGATCGAGGGCAAAGTTTCGTGTATGGATTCTCTCGCATCGAATCAGGAGACCAGCGGGCCCTTGTTGGCGGCAAGGACCGTGGTTGCCCTTCCCTCGTCGATTTTGAGAGATCTTCCCAGCACTGTTTTTGGCTTCGAGGCTCACAAGCACCTGCGATCGCAGTCGCGACCTTGGGCAATTCCCCGTCGTTTTATTTGTGAGAAGGGGAGACTGGGGCACATGGTTTAGGTTCCACAAGACGGAGGTGTCGAAGCGCTACGTGTGCCTGGTGCATGGTCGAGTCAACAGCCCCAGCGGCGTCCTGGATGCATCCATTCGGACACTCCGAACGGATGCAACAACACGGCCACGACGGCTCGATTTGAAGACATTTGATCAGAATCCCTTAAAGAGATTGGCAGGTCGGAGATCTCGGCTGCAGGCGACAGCAGGCATCTGATTTCATGAGTTGAACGAACTGTGCAGGTGATTGGGCAGAGACTCAGTACCAAACCATAGCACCTTGGCTTCCAAATGGCGCTTTGATTCGACAGCCGAAGCAAGACGCGGCTAGGCGACCTTCGAATCCGGAGCCTATGGCGGAGCCTACAGCCTGCTGGTGGCTCTCTTCAGCATCAGCGCGTTCGGATCGCCTCGATGTCCGGATGCGAGGCCTGCGACATCACCTCCGGCCGTACGCATCAGATCCGGGTGCACATGCCGTGGCCTCGACCGATTGAGACTGACGACGGTCATCCGACACCCCGCGCGCAGGCAGCACTTCGGGCACTCCTTGGTGTCAGACGACAAATATGCGTCACAGAAGCTTGAGCAGGCACATGGCGTGGGCAGTTTAGCAGTTGAAACCAATTGGACCCTAAAAGGGGCGACACATTGGATACACCATCCCTCAAATGAAGGGTCCCAGCGGTTTCAGCGCATTCTCAAAAGCGCGAAGAACCTAAGGAAGGTGACATTCGGTGCCTGCAGGATCGCACGTGGTGCCCCCGTCTCTTCCTGCACTGCTACCGCCTGTGCTTCCGGGACATGAGGAAGTGCTGAATGCCGCATGTGGCAAATTTCCAGCGTTTTCGTTCCCGCTACACCGACGCCAGGAGACGGGCGCAGGTGGTGATTTGCCCTTTGCCGGATGACCTGAAGGCACATGTGGATTGTTTGTGCCCAGAAACAAAAGGAGACGCGGTGCATTGAGCTACCCAAGACGGACCACTTGCTTTGCAACTGCCTGTCAAATGTTCAAGCTGAACATTGGGCGACCTCTCGTTGTTTTGAACATGTCAAGCCGCAGAGAGGTCCCTAAGCCGAATTTCATGCATTCGGGAAAGTCCCTTTGCAATCCCCAAAGCACGTTGTTTTGATTTTATTCGGGCACATGTTGCCCCCAAGATTCAAGCAGAATTGCTTTCTTTGGCACCGAAGTTCATTTCTATACTGCTACCACCTATGTTCGACATCATGCGGTCAGTGCGGATCAAGTGTCTCCAAAAGCGCGTGCTTCTGACTTTTCCTTGTGATCGGGGAGGGAGGATTGTAATTAATGGAGATTTGATTTTCCAGATCCAAAGCTTCGGGTTTGAAGCGTCTACACTAACGCCTGTGGCACAAGCACACGGAGAATGACCTGATAGGATGCAGGTTTAGAATATTTTTGAGTCCAAGCTACTCGACCTTGTCCGGCATGTGTTGGGATGTGTTGGGATGTGTGTGTGTGTGAACCGTCCTGGAGCACGGACGCAAAACTTTAAGCAGCAGCAGGGGGCAGGAGCACCATGGCAAGTCTCCTGCCAACGAAGACACTTGCCATCGGTGGTGATACTGGGACTGATCATCCCAGCGTACCTGCGCAACTCGTGTGATTCAAAGTCCTTTTGCGGTTCCTGTTTGTCGCTGTTGCTTCCTGTTCGGTTGCGATGTTGTGACCTGTTGATTTGCATTTGCGTTCAAGCATTTTTACTGACTGCGTTTTTCATCTCGGCTAGTGAAGCCTCTCGAGATAAGTGTGTTTACCCACGGCCTGTCCGACATGACGCTGTGGGCTGGACTCGCCACATGCGGGAGCCCCCTGCGAGGGGAAGACCGTTCATACGTTCAAATTCAAGCTGCAGTTCAGCGCGATTGACCATGATCAAGGCAGCGAATTTGCAGGTGAGGTACCATTCGCATTCGCATAGCACTGCTTGCACTGCCTGCATTTTGAACAAGGCAGCTCTCATGAGGTTTCGGCCAGGCTGCCGCATGTGCAAGGGACAGGTCGGTCAAACACCGACTTTGCAGTTCATCGGTTTATGCTCTGCACTGACTCTGATCAGTTCAATTCACTTTCACGTTCAAGCGACACCTGCATTGACATGAGTTGGACCGACAAGGCAGCTTTTTTGAGGCACAGGTCATGTGTGAATCAGTTGCTACATCGTGTCTGTTCATGCCGCAGTTGTTTTTTGTTTCCACCCCTCTCTTTCCAACCCTCTCTCTCCCTTGCGAGATGGCTGGACATAAGTGAGCTCGCCCCACTCGGGGCCTTGTGTGTGTGAACCGTCCTGGAGCACGGACGCAAAACTTTAAGCAGCAGCAGGGGGCAGGAGCACCATGGCAAGTCTCCTGCCAACGAAGACACTTGCCATCGGTGGTGATACTGGGACTGATCATCCCAGCGTACCTGCGCAACTCGTGTGATTCAAAGTCCTTTTGCGGTTCCTGTTTGTCGCTGTTGCTTCCTGTTCGGTTGCGATGTTGTGACCTGTTGATTTGCATTTGCGTTCAAGCATTTTTACTGACTGCGTTTTTCATCTCGGCTAGTGAAGCCTCTCGAGATAAGTGTGTGTGTGTGTGCGCGTGTTTTCATGCATTGTTTCTGGGCTTGGTCGGAATGTGTGGAGTTTCTCGAAGGCAAAAGGGAAAAGCCGGGGTAGGGAACAAATTACAAGCCCCTCACCAGGTGAGCTAGAGTTCTAGAGTCTAGCTCGTTACTTGGGCCGGTCGGCATTTAATTTGCTTCTAGGCTGCGCTCACCAGACTCGGGGCCGCAGAATGCCCATCGGACCTCTTGCGGGTGCCTTGGCTCGCCGCGAGGCGTCGAGCCGTGCCGGATTTTTCTCTCGGCGGAGGTTTGAAGAGACGTCCTGGCAGCGAGAGGCGGGAAATCTCCGGTTTGGTGCCGCGCTCGCTGCTGTCTTCAGGTCTTTCGGCCGCCACACACCTCTTGGCGGCCTGGAACCGAGGCCTGAGGGCCTGCGCCTCAGCACGAGTCCAAAAAGTGGAAGTTGCCAGGTTCAAAGGCACGTGGCATCCATCCTCTCCAAAGTCAATGAGCCGCCAGCCTAGGCTTGCGCTCCTTCGCTCCTTGCTCCCAGAAGTGAGAATATAAAGTTATATATATATGTATATACACATAAAAACAAGTCCGCGCAACTCAGGCCGGTGCTTCTCGGCGATTTGAACGCCGACCCGGAGTTGAAGAGGCGCTCTTTCGAGACTGCTGTAGCAGACTCTTTGAAGGCCACTTGTGATTTAGTCCTGAGAAGCTTTGTCTTGTGCTCTTTGATGGTTTGTTGGCTTTGCTTGACTACGCCCCTTGCGGCAAACTGAGCCTACTGGAAAGAATGGCTGAGCCAGCAAGGGGTGTTCAAAACATGACTCACAGCGCTTTCGACTTCACGTGAAATGGCAGGGGATGAGGTATTGGACACGTGAGGCTTTTGGCGAAGGAGAACATCAATGGCATCAACAAAGCCTGGCTGGCAAAGAACTGGCACGCTGCTTGTCTGTGGCAGACTCAAACTATGGACCTTGCCACTTGCAAAGTACCTGCCCTTAAAAATATCCTAGAGCCCAAAAACCAGCGACTTTGGATTCTCACAATAAGGTCATAAAGGCTTATACAAGGCTCGCTATAAAGCCTAAGAGCCATCTACTAGAATGGCCAACTGGGTTCGAAACACCCGTCAAAAGACGGCCCCTTACCTCTTCTTGACTTGGACATCTTGCCCTTGGAGTTATCTCACCCTCGCTCGCTTTCTTCGTGCTCCAACCCAGGCTTTTGAAGTACTCAACGTCCATGACGAAGCAGCGTTAAGTCTGTGGGCGGCCTATGAAGCACCTGGCCTTCTTTTTTTTGCGCCCGCTGTGCGCTTCGCCGGATCTTCTTTGCTCAGAGTTTCCTTCCTTCTGCTTTCGGCCCGCCTGAGCCGAGCCCATGTTTCCTTCCAGGAAGCTGCGGCCCACGGAGGGCCCCGAGCTCCTGGAGCAGCAGATCGAGGCGGTCCGGTCCGAGGTGGAGGAGCTTCAGAGGCGCGTCGCTTGGCCACGGGTTGGACTGGTGGGCTTCCTTGACCCCAGGCCTTGCCATTTTCAATCCAGCGCAAACCCGCGCAGTAGTTGTAGTAGTCGTAGTAGTCGTAGTAGTCGTAGTAGTCGTAGTCGTAGTAGTCGTAGTCGTAGTAGTCGTAGTCGTAGTAGTCGTAGTCGTAGTAGTCGTAACCGTAGTAGTCGTAGTCGTAGTAGTCGTAGTCGTAGTAGTCGTAGTCGTAGTAGTCGTAGTCGTAGTAGTCGTAGTCGTAGTAGTCGTAGCAGTCATAGCAGTCATAATAGTAGTCGTACTAGGTAGTGATAGTAGTCGTAGTAGTAGTAGTAGTAGTAGTAGTAGTAGCAGTAGCAGTAGCAGTAGCAGTAGCTGTAGAAGTAGGAGTCGCCGTAGTCGTCGTAGTCGCAGTAGTGGGAGGGTGCTGCTGCTGCTGCTGCGGCTGTGGCTGCCGCACTGCTTGTAGATTCAAGATTGCCGCAAGAGTGTAGGAAAATCGCCGGAGCAAGCTCGGTCCATGCGGAAAAGGTCTGGAAAACGTCAGGAACAGAGGCTGAGGCACAATCCATTCAGGTTCAGGCACGAGTAGTCTATTTAGGAAAAGGTTAAGGCCCCATTAATCCATTCAGGAAGGGGGAAGGAAAGAGTGATGTACACGACGGCCCGCGCTTCTCCTGCCCGGTTGCGAGGCGTGTATCCCTGAAAACACGGGAAAAAAGGAAAAACGTATCAAGGTGTGCTAGGCTTCAATTGCGTGGAGAAAAGTGTGCTTTCTTGCTCGCTTGTTCGTTTGCTTGGTTGGTTGGTTGTTTGTTTGTGTGTGTGTGCTTGTTGGATTGGTTTTGAGTTTGCATGTCGCGCTTGTCGCGCTTGTCGCGCTTGTCGTGCTTGTTGTGTTTGTTTGTTTGTTTGTTTCTTTGTTTGTTTGTTTGTTTGTTTGTTGTTTGTTTGTTTTTCTGTCTGTTTGTTGCTTGCTTGCTTGCTTGCTTGCTTGCTTGCTTGCTTGCTTGCGTGCTTGCTTGCTTGCTTGCTTGCTTGCTTGTTTGGTTGTTTATTTATTTAATTGTTCGTTTGTTTGTTTGTTTTTTGTTTGCCTGCCTGGTTTTTGGTTGGTTGGGTGGTTGGTTGGGTGGTTGGTTGGTGTTGCTTTGCAGACTTGTTGGTTTCTAGGTTTGTTGGTTGTGTTTGTTGGTGGTGTTGGTGCTTCCTATTTTGCTATTTGTTTGTTTGCTAATTTGCTTTGCTTTGGTTTGCTTTGCCTTGCTTTGCTTGGCTTGGCTTGGCTTCGCTGCACCGCGCTGCGCTTTGCTCTGCTCTGCTCTGCTCTGCTCTGCTCTGCTCTGTTTGTGTGCCTGCCTGCCTGCCTGACTGACTGCCTGCCTGTCTGTCTGTCTGTCTGTCTGTCTGTCTGTCTGTTTGTTTGTTTGTTGACGTGCTGGCCGGCTGGCTGGCTGGCTGGCAGGCTGGTCAGTTGGTTGGTTGGTCGGTTGGCTGCCTGTTGGTGGTTGGTTGTTGGTCGTTGGTTGTTGGTTGTTGGTTGCTGCTGCTCCTGCTGCTGACGCCGCCGCCGCCGCCTTTTTGTTGCTGCTTGGAGCTCGGGAATGTTTCGATTGGCTTGTCCCACACGTATGACAGCCAGTTTTTGAGGGTTGGTGAGCCAGGGGATGGGTAAGCGTCGTGATGACGAAGTGCATTCCGCAAATTGAACATCGCATCTGGTTTGCGCGCTTTCTCCCGAGGCAGAAGCAAAGAGCTGTTGCCGAGGAGCAGTGCGCTTCAGGGCCTTTGCCGGGTGGCTGGGTTCGATTCTTGTGACAAGTCTAAAACGGGAAAGGTACGACATCAGAGCTCTATGGTTTGCAAAAGCCCAACCCTTACACTTCATCGAAAGGTACTTGCAGGCCGCGGAGATCAAACGTCGGGTGGAGGCGGTCCGCGCCTTGAGCTGCGCGCAGTTTCGGTTTCCGAACAGGGCGGTGGGTTTGGTGCCAAGAGAAAGGCCAAATGGCATCCTGACTGAGGCTGCGGCGGAGCTGTCCTCGCTTTTGGCTCTCGAGGAGGGCAACGGGCGAGGGGATTGATGATTTGCATGGTTGCTGTGGAGGACACCGAGGACGGAGGTCAAGTGCTCGGGCATGGGAGTGAGCGAACTCGACGGTGTTGTGTCCCAAGGTCCTGCCAGGCCTTTGCTGCCTTTGCTCTCTGGAAGTGATCGGCTCGTTGGCTCGTGGCAGCGCGAGGCCGGCGCCCAAACCGGCGCAGTCCTTCCAGCAGGACGTGAGGGACGAGGAGCGAGGAAAGCCAAACGTGGTGACACGCGCGCGCCAAATGCCAGGCATTGTTTCCATCCCTGGGCGCTCCGAAGCTCCCTTCGAAGCAGCGCTCTCGAAAGTCGGAATTGGATCATGCCGGGTGGCGCACAGATGTTGTCCTTGCGTTCCAAGACCTGAGCTGGAAGATGTCGGCGAAGGCCATGTGCTGACGTGTTGCCAGTGTGCTTGATGCAGTTTTCATCGGATGGCCCAACTGACTAGGTCAGACGGAGGTGCCGTCTTTGCAGGCCGGGGGCGCCTTGACCTTCCTGACGCCGTTTGTTCAGATCGCAGGAGGCGATCTTGACCTTTCTGGATCGCCGCTGCCTGAGCGCGGACAACCGGTGCGCCGGGCCTGCCGGGCCTTCGCTTCATTGAGGCAAGGAGGGCAGCATTTGCCACATCAACGAAATCAACAACGATCGGTCTCTCAAAGAGGTCATGGCCATGCAAGTGCCCAAAGCCACGGCTGTCAACAAGGCCCGCTCTGGGAAGGAAGAGAAGATGCGCCTGTCCAGCGTGCACATCTGCCGAAACTGGAGTGGGGGGCTGGCCTGTCCTTGGTTCGCAGTTCTCCCCCCGCTTTAGGGCTGCACCAGGAAGCACCCTTCTTGGAAAGCACATGGGAATTGCTCAAAGTGAGCCACCTGGCAAAGGGGATCTTTGAGATCAACCGGATTCCAACCGTCTCCGAAGGCCTGGCTTAAGCAGCACGAGGATGCCTTCACGCTCTTCCGGGGGTCCGACAACGAAATGTACGTAGTGAAGACCCAGGCATCGGCTCGAGTCGAAAGGCAAAAGCACCGGCGCTTGATGTTTTGCTGGTTTTTGGGTGAGGATCCTGTTGTTGCTCTTGACTTTTCTCCCCCTGGAGGGTGATAGGGTAGCTGCTCCTTGGTTTGCCCTGAGCGCTTGCGAGACGCATGGGGTTGCGGTTGCAAAGTGTCCAGCTCCATTTTCGCAGACCTCTCGCGGGGTGACCCCGACCGGCGCGAGGCCGTGAGGGACCAGAAGGCCAAGGCCAAGGCGAAGGCGCTGGCTGCCTTCCCTGCGGAAGCGGGTGGTGACTGCGTGAGGCGGATGCCAAGAAAATGCCCGCGTATCACCAGGCATGGCCCAACTCGAATTAAGGCCCCTTGGGCCACAATCAAATCTGGGTGGATGAGGGCAAGTCCCAACAAGAAATGACCGTCCTTTTGCTTGTTTGCGCGGGTTTTGTTCCAAGTTTTTGGGAGTCTCAGAGGTCATCCAGAAGGCTGACGTGGACGCCGCTCGGGTCCCGGCTGCACGCTAGCGATGAAACGAAAACGCAAAGCCTCTTAGGCCCCTTTGGTGTACGAGTATGGCAGCAACAAGAAGCCGGAGGAGCCTTGCGCGCTTTGCAAGCCGCTCCGGGCCCAAGCCCCCGGTGAGGGTCTAACAGTGGTTGGGGATTTTGGAGATTTTCAACTAGCCATCCCTAAGCCACCCCCAAACCACCCTCAGCCCACCAAAACACAACCACAGCTTAAACCTCTAAACCCACCCTAGCCCTACACCCACCCTAAACCAACCCCAAGAAGCCCACCATAACCAGCACTAAACCATCCCAGTACCTAAAGCGCAGCCACTCCCAAGCTTGCCCTAAAGCCTGGAACCCACCCTGAACCAACCCTAGCCAGCCTTGAACCCACCCTAGACCCAGCCAAACAAATCCTACTTGTGATGCTGAGGATGTTGAAAGGGATGCTGCCGAGTTAAAATGATGCCCATGGATGTGTCAAACCACAGCAGAACTAAGGAGATACCTGCCAGTTCCAAGACAGAAAATGCAGGATTTCTTGGGTTTGACCCCGAAGTAGTTTGGATCCCTCCGCAAATTTCACGCGATTGGTCCTTGGATTTCTGAATGCAGGACGGACAGGCGCCGACCTGGCAGGACAAGTTCCGGGAGGTGTTGCAGGCCATCCAGAATCGGCCGAGAAAGGGGGTCTGATTTCAGACACGGTTCCGTTCAGCCAGGCACGGTATCGTTGCTCTGGTTGGTTCATAAAGGTTCATCACCCCATTTTTTGTTGGTGAAGCCTCTGGTGTCTATTGGCTGTGTAACCTGGTACCTGTGTGGTGTGGCGATATGCCGTGTAGTGTTGTTTGACCATTGGCGCGGGTCCTTGGTTGTTGGTACTGCTTGTTGGTACTGCTTGATGTGAGTGCTTGTAGTTTGTGGTATTCAATCGCCAGGGATCTGATCTGTGGATGTGTTGGTGATGTTTCCTGCCTGTTGAAGATGTTGCGCAGTGTCTCGTCGAGCAGCATTGCGATCGTAACAGCGTCTGGAAGTCGTGCGTTGTCTTCTTTGCCCGGCCAGGTGCGCGTGTTGTGTGGAAAAAGTGGTCCCATTCGAGCCCGCAGACCTTACGGTTATTAGCCGTACGCTCTAACCAACTGAGCTATGAGACCCTTGTGTGCAAGCGTGAAAGCAAACGTAAACTTGCAGGCCGAGACTGCGGGGCGGCCGTGTGGTCAGGATGGACATTATATCCACCATTATCCACTTCTTTTATGACTTTATCACCTTCAAGTACAGGAAATCTTATATTAGGATTATTAATCTCTGGTATATCTTCATGTGTGGCGAGTTGGAACTCCCATGTAAAGCTTCGAACTCGCGGCGCCCGTGTTGAGAAACATTGGGAGGTGCCTGAGGTGCCTGAGGTGCCCAATGCTTCTACCAACTGGGTCTGAGGTGTGGCCATGTTCGAAATCCGTGGCCTTGCGTGTGTCTGCAACTTGTTGATGGTCCACGCGGTGTGCCAAGGTTGTTGCTCAGGTGTATCCGTTGTTCTGCTGGTTGTGAAGGTGCCGCTGTTTCTGGTTGATCATTGGCGACTTGCAGTTGTGATTGCTCTGCCTGCCTCAGCAGTCTGTTGTACGATAAATCTTGTGGTCCAAGGTATGCTGTCATGCGCTTCCATTCTTCGAATGTGGTGTTTTGTGAATCGCGGTGGGGCTATCTTGAACCTGCGTGTTGAGCCATCATTCCTGCATGCTGTGTGGCCGCCATATCTTTCCCGGGCGTGCGATGTTCCGCTACCATGTCAAAATGCAACGTGTCACGTGTCTGCGAGCCATGTGGCCTGAGGCCTGTTTGTGGTCTGGCCTAGATGCAATGTAGCACACTCTCTTTGTGCTGGGGATCCACTTTGCTGCCAACGCAAAGGACATTCATGTCTTTAGGGAGGTGAGCCCCATGAAGCCATGCGAAGGCGGGGCGCCTCACTGCCCCAGAGCTGCTGGCGCGTGTGCCGCTCTTCGCCCCTTGGACCTGCGTTAAGGCCTCGTGGCTGGCAAAAGGCCCCGGACAAATTACAGGGATCTTGTGTGACAGCCTAGGCCTGCCTGATAAAACCTGCTTCTTTCGGACATGGTCGGTTGAATCCCCAAAAAAACGCTGCAGAAATGGATCCCGGCCCCGGTTGAAAAGACACAGCTGGGAGATGAGAGGTTTCAGGCACAATTGATGGAATGTGCTCTGAATACTTTGGTTGGAACACGCCTCGAACATGGCGCACATGTATGTCCACCTCGTCATGCAGGGTCATCTTGTCGAGCCTTAGGGTTTAGGTTGGGGATCCTGGCTTGAACTAGAGAAGCTCATGTTGGATTTTTGCGAGCGCCATTTGCATTGGAGTGGCGTTTCTTCGTTTTCCCCGCGCCATGAGGGAGTCGTGATTTGTCTTAGGCCAAGAATTGGCTGGTACGTTTTGGTCTCCAGAGGCCCCGGCGATGGGTGCAAGCCGTCCACGGCAGCAGCAGGAGAAGCCGATACCCAAAACTTTTGCTCAAGTGAGATGCTCGTGGGATGTGTAGGGTTTCAACGGGTTCCCATGAAAGGTCAAGGTCTGCAGCGTTTTGCCAGGATCTCCTGGTGACCTTTCTGCAAACCTGGCCAGACCTCTTCAAGGTGCGCCTTTCACGTGCAAGATGCAAGATGCAAGTCGGAGCAGGTGGAAAAGCAAGGCTCAGGAACGGAGCGACAGTATGTGGCCGCAGCCTTGGCTTGCGAGCTTCGTCTTCGCAGTGTAAACCTCGTGCGAGGTCTCGTTGAAGTGATGCCGAGTGGCCAAGCTATTGGACAGACCCGTCGAGAGTCAACAGAAGCATACTTTTTGTGGCAGGGTAGCTAGATTGCGCACTGAATCTCAGCTGGTCTGCTCCATCTAGCTTAGCCCCACATTGTACATAAAGACCGAGCAACTCTTTCCAGAAAGCTAACGAAAAGGGCCTGCGCATGGCGAGCACGATGCTCCAAGGCATAGCTCGGAGGATGTGCTGAGCAAAACGGACATGTCTTTCCCTGTCAGCGGCTTTCTTCAAGCCATTCAGCAAAGCTCCAAGCCACAAAGCTGAACTGAACTGACGACGCTCGGCTTTGCAATACCTTTGAGCCCCTGAGTGCCATGGAACCAGAGGATGCGTCACAGCCGCCCAATCCTTACAAGGGACGACGGGTTGGGCACCACGCCCTGCGCATGATTGAAAGACAAAGGCTGGCCGAAAGCAAGGCGAGGTTCGTCCATGGCGACTCATTCGAGTGAGAATCATTGCACTGTGGCAGGAAGACGAGGAGGAAGCGTGGGTGTTTAGGCGATTGCCATTAAGATCGCATAGATTGCATGCCAGGAGCTCTTGGCTTGCTCGCATTGCTCAAATCCTATCACCTGGCGGGAGGACATTTTGCAGGCAAGGCTTAAGAGGCGGAGTATGCAGAATGACACAGATGCGTGCCAGGAAAGAGTGAACACCTTCAAAGAGGTGCCACGTGTTTGCATCGGTAAAGTTGGACTCAGATGAAAAGCTCAGATGCCAGGCGGTGTATCCGTACGAGCTCGCCGTCTGTGACAAAGAAAGCTGGTGTGCTGCCTGAAACAGAAGACAGACTGTGACCAAAACGGCTTCCTGAATGCTTGCCTTGTCGTGCTTGCTTGCTTGCTTGCTTGCTTGCTTGCTTGCTTGCTTGCTTGCTTGCTTGCTTCCTTGCTTGCTTGCTTGCTTGCTTGCTTGCTTGCTTGCTTGCTTGCTTGCTCCCTTCCTTCCTTTCTTCCTTCATTCCTTTCTTCCTGCCTGCCTTCCGGCCTGCCTGCCGGCCTGCCTGCCTGCCTGCCTGCCTGCCTGCTTGCCTGCCTGCCTGCCTGCCTTGTTGTTTGTTTGTTTCTGCTTGTGTCTGCTTGTTTCTGCTTGCTTCTGCTTGCTTCGTTTTCTTTTGTGTGTGCTTGTTTGTGCATGGCGTGATGTGTGCATGTGCGCATATGTGTAAGCTTGGGTAGATCGAGGGACTTTAAATGATGCAAGTGCCGCAGTTGGCATTCCACTTGAACGCCTCTATTCACGCTCGTGCAAGACAGTGCTCACGTCGGAAGAAGATGCTAATACAAACGGCCATATTAATGCGAGGTTCGGTAAATATTGCTTGTAGTCCATAGTTTATTTGGGAGGGGCATCGGGGACTCACTGTCACTACATTTCCCACAAAAGCCAGGGACTCACCAACTTTCCTATATCCTGTTGGGGAAGCAATTAATTTTGCCTGCGCATCTGAATCTCCAACAAGCGTATACTGACAAACGCTGGGATGAGTTTCAGTTGTCCAGTTCTTTCGTAAGGTGTTACTTGGCCACGGACCCCCAGAACAACCGCTTCGACCTGATCCGCACCAGGCCGGCTGGGGGATGGGTCCCGGACGGGGGACGGGTCTGATCCGATGCCTCGAGAGGGCGACGGCGGCGGTGCGGCTGGTGGCCAGCCCCTGCGAGGACTACAGCTGGTTCCCGGGCTACGCCTCGGGCTGAGGGCAAGGGGCCGGAAAGGGATCGGAAAGAGAAGAGGCGGAGAGGCGGAAAGCCTTACGGGGAGAGAGGGGGGCGCATTCGCTCCAAGGCCTGGCGCGCTGCATATTGCGACAGCTGTCAGGCTCAGATTGGCGCCTTGGATGGGCTATGGTTGGTCCATTTAGAACCATGTTTCTCAAAGCGGTCATGTTTCTCTTCTGGGATGGTCTTGAAGGGAAGCTCAAAGGATGACTCCCTGATTTTGAGAACGTCAATTTCACTTACTTTGGATGGGGATCGGAAGGACGAGTGTGCCCACCATGAAAGGGAGGCTCTTGATGATGGGACACACACTCACTTGGCCCAGAGGGCACGCGGGCCGGGTGCTAAGGATGGGGATTCTGTGCGCCCTTCGTGTGTGGCCTGAGACTCAGACGCTTCCTCATGTCTTCGATCCAGCCTTTGTGTAGTTCTGACGCGTGCACCGTACGCATCGCCGTGCCCCGGCCTTGCGCGTCGCATTCACTTCAGGCGGCTGCGAGACCGGCGCCTCGTCTCCATCCTCGAAGCTTTGGAACATGGAGCCCCTGGCCACTTTGCATCGAGTCCGCGCGAGAGCCTTCTTGCCGTGGCTGACATGTGCATCGCCTCTCGAATTTGAGCAATCGCAAAAACAGCGCAAAGAGCTTGCTTTCAAGCAATGATTCAACAAATGGCAATCTGGTGAGCTAAAACGCAATGTTTTTCTTTGTTGACACAGGCGATGAGACTACTCGGCCAGGCGCCGCAATTCCTCGGGGTCATCTTGACGCGGCTCAGACCTTCCTCGCAGGCCAAGGCGCAGGCGTGGAACACGCATCTCGCAGCTGGGGCGTTTCCAGTAAGTTGCAGCCGCTTTCCGTTCCACCACTCTGATTTGTCCCATCCTTCCACTTTTTTAGACCGTTTGCTTGGCGATAGTTTGAAGCGCAAGGCAACACCTCCACAAGAAGCACGTATCGGGTCTCGCGTGTCGACAGGCGCGGTTCCGCCAGTTCCGCGAGCTGCCCGAGGCTCAGTTTCATGTTTCATTTGGCCTGAGGCCAAATGGACGCATCTCGGGCCCCGAAATTTGGGCCCGGAATTTGCAAGGTCTTGTCTTGAAGTCTTGGCTTGTTGCAAGCCGTTCAGCGTGATCCCAGGTCCCAGACGCCTGCGCCCGCCCCTGAGGTTCAAACGGGCCCCGAGTCCGGTTCCAAACGTCCCAGGGTTGGACTCGATCCGACAGATCCCACTTCTTCTTTTCTTCTTTTTCCTTTTAAATATTTCCGAGGGTATGACTCGTTGGTTGCCTGGTTCAAATGCGGGGCGGGTGGGGGGGTCCAACTCGTTTTTGACATTTTGCCTCAGTGCCTCTTCAGTAAAGCAAGTTTCTGCACGCGAGCCCGCGCTCACCCCTCGCGTGCTGAGGGCGCAAGAAGGCCATTTCAGACATAGGTGGTGGCCCATAGGCAGGGAAGGAGTCCAAGGGCGATGCTCAGCGGCTGAATTGCCAAGCAAGGGATGTGGATGGTCTGCTTGGCTCGAGCCTGATGATACGCTTATGATAGACTTTCGGGGTTGGTCTCTTGACTCCTGAGCCGATGCGGCACCGGGCCGGACAGATACCAAGGATCAGAAGGCGGAGCCCAGCTCAGTGCCTTGGGAGCGGGTGGAAGATGCCACGTGGTGCCGGAGCTGCCAAGGAGAAAGGGGAAGTCTCGGCGAAAGCGCGCGGCGCCACGATCTACGCAGGTCGCAAGTAGGGCGCTGCTCCTGGCGGCTGGAGTGCTGCTTCACAACGCGAAACGAGATTCCGCAGCCCATGGAGCTTGGACGTGGAAGTCACACGTGAAGATTTCTTTGCCGGATTGGGTGTGAAATGCTGCAACGCCGACTATGGCCCGGAACGCTCAACACCTCCGCCAGCATTCCAGTTGAGTCGCAAAGGGTGCATGTATTTCAACACCTTCTGCCCCTTGGCTCAGCTTGGCTCTCCAAGTTTTCCGTGAGCACTGACGTCTTCATGGCAACTCGCCTGTTGCAAGACCGGCGGCCGGCCACGCCAAAGGTTCACAGCTTCAAGTTCGAGCCAAGGCGTCGGTGCAGGATGGCGCCAGCTTTGCCGCTGACCTGGCAAATTCTTAACGGGAGATGAGCGAGAAGCAGACGGCCAAGTGCGATCCAAAGATCAAGTGAATGAGTCCTTTTTCTTGTCCTTTGCTCCCGGAGGCTCAATACTGACCTGCTTGCTTGAGCTAGCATATGCTTACAAGCTGTACAAGTTTTTTTCTTTTTCCCTGCGGTGAGCCGCAGAATCGCCTTGAGAAAAGATGTCTCGAATGGAGCCAATGGAGTGCGCAGCCTTTGCAGGCGAGTTGGCGCCTTAGACACTCTGCGGGTTTTGGGCTTCATGGGGCACAGTCTTGCAGCCTTGCATATATGGAGAAAGCTGAAGCTAGACGTACTCCACTTTATGTTGTCCGAAGGGTGGTTTTCCACACAAACCGAGCGCATCAAGTGGAGCATGGGCAGCGGAGCACGTCCAGTTCAAATTTGCCCTGCGAAACATCGTGCAGCATATTCATGTGCGATGGTGGATATCTGGGAATGGATGATAAGGATGGGAGCCATGACATCAAGGTTTGAACATGCTCTGAGGCCCGAGAACTTCTTCAGGCGCGAGCCGCCCTGGCTGGAGTACGAGGCATGGCGGGGGTCCTCGTTTCTTTGGGACGGGGTTTGGTCAGATTCCAAGGTTACGTGGGTGTATCGCTTTTTGAGGGCACCGTATTTTTTGCAGTTTTTACAGGGAGACCAAAAGGATAGCCACATTCTGTTGGGGTCCCCCCGGAGTAAAAAGGAGGAGCCATGTGTTGCCAGGACAATGTCGACAGTGCCTTCCGGCGAGCTCGGTCTCCGACCCCGCCGATGCGCTTGCGGACATCGGAGAGGAGGGCGGGTGCCTCGCCATGCTGCCAACTCACACATGGGTGTGGGTCAAAATTAAACCACCAGGGGACCGCAGGTTTTTGTCTCTGTTTCCATTTGCCAAGGTTCTATTTTGGGTACCTATCTCTGACCCACAGCCACAGCAGAAAACGGAGACGTTGAGTTGGCTGCGAGGGTGAAGCAGTCACTGAAACTGTATGAAGTGCATGACAGACTGATCTTCAGATGACTTGATCGGCACCAGCCATGATCTTCGCTAGTTGTATGACTCCTGAGCAGGCCTTTTCGAAAACGGGATGTCATGGGCCGTTTCTATTTCATTGTTTGGTGGCTGGCAGCGGCAGCACCTCAGCAGTAGCAGTGTACTGGCGCTTCCAGCTGAAAATGCAACAGTCGCAGCAAACGATCCGCAGCTTCATTTGCTTCTGCTTTGTCACGTTCCAGACGGCCCGCAGGAACCAGGCAGAGGCGCCAAGCCAGGAGCCGCGCTCGAGAGAGGAGCGGGTCACCGTGCGGTCGTTGGGCCAGGAGCAAAGGGCACGTCCGAATATCTGTTTTGGAACTTGACTTGTTGGGACGCGCGCCATTCAGTGAGCAAAGGGGATCCGCAAACATGGTATGCAAAGATCTGGCTGTGAACTGCTTGTGAATGAGAGTTCGCGACTCGACAGGATGGGGACATGCAGGCGGAGTTGCTCCGACTGCTCCGTGAACAGGCGGGCAAGCTGCTTTACCGTCAAGCGGGCTTCCCGCCGCTTGTCCAGGCGCGGATGCACAGGAAGCTCAGCCAGCAACTAGAGATGTCTTGAACACGGGAGTTGCAAAGCGGAAGACCTGCATACCCATGAAAAATGGCGTCCACCACAGGAAGAGCTGGGTTTCGCTTGGCATCCAGCAGGCCCCTTTTGTTTCAGCGCCCAAACTAGGATATTGTCTCATGAGGTGTGAGAACATGCTGGGGAAGACCAGGTTTAAAGAGGACAGTTCCAGCCAAACATAGGCGTGGCCAACTCTATATCAGTTTAGGTAGACCGTTTTAGTACCATGACTTATGTGACACAAAGTGCCAAACATGGCAGTTTTGCCGCTGACCCCCTTGGGCTAGCCGGGCCAATCAGGGCCCTTGCGGCGAAAACCGTGCGCATGTTCTCTCATGTAGAGTAATTTAAGGGCTGCCGCCCAGTGCCGCCGACCCCAGTTTGCGGTCAGGGAGCTCTTCAGACGGACAAATGTCAGCACAAAAAATCGTGTATGTATGTATGCATGTATGCATGTATGCATGTATGCATGTATGCATGTATGCATGTATGCATGCATGTATGTATGTATGTATGTATGTATGTATGTATGTATGTATGTATGTATGTATGTATGTATGTATGTATGTATGTATGTATGTATGTATGTATGTATGTACATGTATGTATGTATGCATGTATGTATGTATGTATGTATGTAATGTATGTATGTATGTATGTATGTATGTGTGTATGTATGTATGTATGTATGTATGTATGTAATGTAATGTAATGTAATGTAATGTAATGTAATGTAATGTAATGTATGTATGTATGTATGTATGTATGTATGTTATGTATGTATGTATGTATGTATGTATGTATGTATGTTTGTTATGTTATGTTATGTTATGTTATGTTATGTTATGTTTTGTTATGTTATGTTATGTTATGTTATGTTATGTTATGTTATGCTATGTTATGTTATGTTATGTTATGTATTTGTATGTAAGTATGTATGTATGTATGTATGTATTGTATGTATGTATGTTGGATGTATGTATGTATGTATGGTTATGTATGTATGTATGTATGTATGTATGTATGTATGTATGTAT